CATCATCATCATCATCATCATCATCATCATCATCATCATCATCATCATCATCATCATCATCATCATCATCATCATCATCCTCTCATCATCATCATCATCATCATCATCATCATCATCATCATCATCATCATCATCATCATCATCATCATCATCATCATCATCATCATCATCATCATCATCATCATCATCATCATCATCATCCACCTCCACCTCCACCTCCTCCTCTTCCTCCCTCATCCTCCTCCTCCTCTCCTCTCCTCCTCCTCCTCCTCCTCCTCTCCCTCCTCCTCCTCCTCCTCCTCCTCCTCCTCCTCCTCCTCCTCCTCTCCCCGCTCCTCCCTCCCCTCCTCCTCCTCCTCATCTCGCCTCCTACTTCTTCCTCCTCCTCCTCCTCCTCCTCCTCCTGACTCTCTACTCCTCCTCATCTCATGACTCTCTCCTCCTCCTCAATCCTCCTCCTCCTCCTCCTCCTCCTTCCTCTCCTCCTCCTCTCCTCCTCCTCCTCCTCCTCCTCCTTCCTCCTCCTCCTCCTCCCCTCCCCTCCTCCATCCTCCTCCTCCTCTCTCCTCCTCCTCCTCCTCCTCCTCCTCCTCCTCCTACTCCTCCGCCCTCCTCCTCCTCCTCCTCTCCTCCTCCTCCTCCTCCTGACTCTCTCACTCCCTCCTCCGCCTCCTCCCTCCGCCTCCCTCCGCCTCCCTCACTCCCTCCTCCTCCTCCCTCCTCCCCCCCCTCCCCCCCCTCCTCCTCCTCCTCCTCCTTCTCCTCCTCCTCCTCCTCCTCCTCCTCCTCCTCCTCCTCCTCCTCCTCCTCCTCCTCCTCTCGATCCCTCCTCCCTCCGTGTGGCGCCCTGGCCCTCGGAAAAGGGCGACTCTCCCGCACGAGCACGCCCCCCCTCCAGAGGGGCGGGGAGCCTCGGCCGGCTCCGAGGGCCAGCTGTGCTGTGGGCAGTCCTACAGGGCAGGTGTTAATACATAGGACTTTCAAACATATAGGATGTGTTTAATACATGATTAATTTCGGAATCAATGTATGCATGAACTCATCGCTGTTTTTAATGCTGAATCCCTGCATGTTTAATACATGGTCCGCACGCGGAGCTTAAACACGGCACTGTAAGTTGGGGTCGACGTTGGGGCCATTTCTTCATGGTATTTGGGGTCGACGTTTGTTCATGGTCGCCATGTTACTCACTGTTATGTGTCGACGCTTGATTGGGGTCGACGTTTGTTTATGACGTTGGGATCGACGTTTGTTTTTGATCGTCGCTTGTTCTGAGGGCCAGTTGTGCTTCGGGCATTCATATTTGGGGTCGACGTTCGTTTATGACCGCCATTTTACGCGACCGACACAGATCAGAACTTTCAGCTCGACAGGATGTCACCGTTAAGGACATCGACTGCCTAAGCCACAGTCACACAGGCCGCGAAAGTGGTGCTCGTCTGTACGATTTGTTGTTGCAGTCGGGGTCTCCGACAACAGTGAGCAGCAACTAGCAAGCATGTTCTTGAGACTTACTTCACGCGCTGGCACGCTGGCGGGCGGAGCACGTGCGGTCACGCAGGGGAGGGCATGTCAGGAGGGGGGACGGAGGCCTCGGGCACGCTGTCTTGAAACAGCAGTCTGCAATCCTCCTGGAAAGAGATGGCAAGGACTGGCAGAACGAGAAGGGTGCAATGAGATGCTGCGAAGCAAAGCGTGGTAAAAATTCGATTGCGATACCGCAGGCCGCGACTACAAGCTATCTGTATTCCGACATATCGGTCTTTTCTGTCTTCAGGGCGTCCAGAACGGCTCGAAAACGCCCCAAAAAGCAGCCCAAGAGAACTTCATGAGACTCCCAAGAGGGCCTCAAGACAGCCCAAGTGTGCCACCAAGACGGCGCAGGAGAGTCCCCGAAGGACTCCAAGGCTGCCGAAGAGAGCTCCAATTCACAGCCCGGGAGAGCCCCAAGAGGGCCCCATGGCGCCCCTCCTCCTCCTCCTCCTCCTCTTCCTCCTCCTCCTCCTCCTCCTCCTCCTCCTCCCCCTCCTCATCCTCCTCCTGATCTTCCTCCCCCTCCCTGACACACGAAAGCGGCGGCTCCCTGAGCCTCCAAGGGACGCCAAGATGGCCACAAAAAGGTTCCCACACGGGCCCTGCCGAGCCCCACGAGAGCCACGGGGCCCCAGAGCGGCTGCCACAGAGCCCCGGGGCAGCGCCAAGACAGCCTCAAGTAGGCCTCAGGTAGCCTTTGCGCTCTTCGGAGCGTCCAATGGCTTCCAAGACGCGCTCAGGACCCCCAGAGCACTCGGGCGAGGCCCCGTCAAAGATCTCGTCGCTGATCTGCATTCAGTTCTGATTGCCTAGGGAGTACTCGCCTTGTCGGTCTTCAGTTTACTGTCGCGTTTGCGTGTTGGTTTCGCTTCGGGGTCTCGCCAGGACTCCAGCCATGCGGACTCAACGGAACGAGTGTCGGTCTGCGGTTCGCGTATATGTTTGACGACTTCATGCAAATCTTAGAATGCACGTTGAGTCGCAACGCTTGCTTGGAAATGTCCTAATCACCCCAATGGGTGAACTACCCAGGAGACTCAGAAAAAGTTCTGCGTCGCCAACATCCCGCCATCAGAATCGAACCCGAAGCCACATGCTGCATACTTGGCGTTCCCGAGCATGTTCCAATAATGACCCGTACTCGTCCCCCATTCAGTATTCCCCGTGTCTAAGACTATCTTGCCCTCGTCCCACATCTGTTGGAGGCATCCGATGAGCGTCTGTCTGCAGTCGTCGTAGCTACCGCAGCTTCTGGGGCAGCAGCTGTTCTCACCCGAGACCCACCTGTCCTGCTCGCAGCTCAATCCGAAGCTCCAGTGGCCACAACCAGCCCCCTTGTGCACCGAGTAGAGCTGATCAGACGAGGCCTTCTCGTTCATGCACTTTCTGAAATCTTCTGGTGCGAGCTGGAGCGGATCAAGGTGCCCATGGTCCCGATGGCGCCCATCAGAGAAAGGCGCGCCCGCCCTGAAGACGTTGATCTGCTCCACGCAGTCCTGCTGCAGCCTCTCCACGTCACACATCGTCATGCCACTCGGGTGCGCGACCAGTGGGCTCGGCAAACCCTGCGTGTAATCCTTCCCAGGCAGGGGGTAGTGGCTTGTCGGCTCGATGCCTGAGCAAGTGGGCGCCAGAAACGGCACTGAGCCCTGCACCCAGCCCAGCACTGACTGCCACGCTGACGCGAACAGCGACTGAAAAAAGTTCCCCACAGCCGCGAGCAGCTCCCAGCTCTTGGCCTGCACAAAGCCCAGAATGGACTCCCCTGTGGACGATGCTGCTGCCGCAAGAGTGTCAAGGAAAGAACCGTTGCTGCTCGTGGCATTCGGGCCTGCCTGCGGGTCGCTGGCTGGTGGTGGTGCCGAGGCGACCGACTGCTTCAAGATGGTCTCGTTATGAACCGGTTCGGCCAGCTGCGCTGTCGCCTGCTGTGCCTCCATTTGTGCCGCCCCTGACACGCCACGAGAATATATACACAGACGCTCTCCGACGAACTCTGCACGTACTTTCAGGGAGGGCGGCGGTGTAGGAAGTCGCTGGCCCTCAGTGGTGATTTGCGCACCGCCACCCTTCGCTGAGGCCCAGGCAGAATCCATTGGAGGGCGTCTGTGTCTATACTTTGGTGGTGGACCTGATGCATTAGCAAGGGAAGCTGCATTGCTGAAGGCGGTCTCCTTCGGCGCGTGCTCTGCGCCAGGCGCGTGGGCCCGAAGCAGGCACAGCACGAGGCCCAGAGCGACCAGGGAGCCGGCGACGCTCGACCACCTCTTCCACGAAGGCCTCGCGGCTGCGCTCGTGCAGCCCACCTCCCCCAGCTCCTGTGCCCCCTCGCTTTCGCTGGCCAGCAGGCCGCTCCGGTCCTGAGCTCCAGCCCTCATCACACCGGCGCCACGCCGCTCCGAAGCTCGGAGGAGGAGGTGGAGGAGGAGGAGGAGGAGGAGGATAGGGAGGGAGAGGAGGAGGAGGAGGAGGAGGAGGAGGAGGAGGAGGAGGAGGAGGAGGAGGAGGAGGAGGGGGAGGAGGAGGAGGAGGAGGAGGAGGAGGAGGAGGAGGAGGACACAGTATGGCGAGGGGCACTTTGGGAGCGGCCGGGCGCCTGGGCAGGCCTCCCCTCGCGCCGCAGTGGCTGCATATACCCAGGCCCCCGACGCCCTGCTCTCGCCATGGCCTCCAGAGGTCCCGAGCCATGCTCAGGGACCGCTTCTGCGTCCCGAATTGTTTTTCTGACGGTCCCAAGGCCGGGTAAGGTCCCGAACCATTCTCTGGCCCTGAGATCCAACGCTCCATAAAAATTGGAGCGGCGGGATTTTGGCCATTTTCGGCCTCTGGGGCTCTCGCCGGGCCTCGGGAACGCAAAAACCGACTCAGAACGCAAAACCGGCCCAGGGGAAGTGGTCCGGACCTCCAGGGCCCACGCATCGAAAAAATTGGAGCAACCGGATGTCTGGGGGAACCGGTTCTGCGTCCCGAATCGTTTTCCTGACGGTCCCGAGGCCCGGTAAGGGCCCTCAGAGGCAGAAAATAGCGAAAAACCTTCCGCCGCAGCGCGTCGCGGTCGCGGGGGCCCAAACGCGCCTTCTGGGCCTCCAAGACTCTGCGAAACACATTTCCTTCGGAGGTCCTGGTGTTCTTCTTCCTTCTTGTGCGTCTGCTCGTGGTTGGCAATCCCCGGGCCCGAAAACTGCCTCCCGATGCCGGAAACGACGAAACGACGAATCCTCAAATATATTCCCCCCGATCCTCCGTCTACCGCTTCCGACGTCCACCAAAAAAACAAGGCTGGCGTTCAGACGGTTCCAAGCCGCCCGGCCGTGCCAGTGCATAATTCTATGTCCACGCACCTCCGACGTGCACGGCGTTTTCTCACCTCCCTTCCTCCGCCGCCTCCTCGTCCTCCTCCCCCCTCTCCTCCTCCTCCTCCTCCTCCTCCATCCTCTCCTCATCCTCCTCCTTCTCCTCCTCCCTCCTCCTCATCCTCCTCCTCCTCCTCCGCCTCCTCCTTCCTCCTCCTCTCCTCCTCCTCCTCACTAGTATTCCTCGATCTCACATCCTCCTCCTCCTCCACCTCCTCCTCCTCCTCCTCCCTCCTCCTTCCTCCTCCTCCTCCTCCCCCTCCTCCTCCCCCTCCTCGTCCTCCTCGTCTTCTCGTCCTCGTCCTCGTCCTCCCCTCTCCTCCCCCTCCTCCTCTCCTCCTCCTCTCCCCCCTACCCTCCGCCTCCTCTCCTCCTCCTCTCTCATCCTCTCCTCCCCCTCCTCCTCCTAGTATCCTCGATCTGCTCTCCTCCTCCTCCTCTCCTCCTCCTCCTCCTCCTCCTCCCCTCCTCCTCCTCCTCCTCCTCCTCCTCCTCCTCCTCCCCTCCTCCATCCTCCTCCTCTCTCTCCTCTCATCCTCCCCTCCTCTCCCCTCCTCCTCCTCCCTCCTCCTCCTCCTCCTCCTCTCCTCCTTCCCCCTTCCTCCTCCCCGTCTCCTCGCTCTCCTCCTCCTCCTCCTCCCTCCTCCTCCTCCTCCTCCTCCTCCTCCTCCGCCTCCTCTTCCTCCTCCCTACCTCCGCCTCCTCCTCCGCTCCTCTCCTCTCCTCCTCTCCCCTCTCTCCTCCTCCCCCTCCTCCTCCTCCAGCCCTCCTGGGGAGGCTGGAGAGTGTACCGGCGTGGCAGCCAGGCGGCTCGCCATCGAGGAGGAGGAGGAGAAGGAGGAGGAAGGAGTAGGAGGAGGAGGAGGAGGAGGAGGAGGGGAGGAGAGGAGGAGGAGGAGGAGAGGAGGAGGAGGAGCAGGAGGAGGAGGAGAAGAGGCAGGGTGGAGGAGGAGGAGGAGGGGAGGAGGAGGAGAAGAAGGAGGAGGGAGAAGGAGGAGGAGGGAGGAGGAGGAGTGAGGAGGAGGAGAGATGAGGAGGAGTGAGCTCGTTCTGCCGAGGCTCGCCTTACCCTTCGGGGAGGGGGCTCCCCCTCCCCCTCCCGCTCCGCCCTCCCCCCGGGTCTGCACCGCCCCCCATTGCGAGGTGTCGGAGTGTCTTTTCCTTCGCCGCCCCGGGGTTTCCAAGCGAGCCCCAGAAACCCCGAGATGGCCCACAAGATCGCTCGAGATACCCCAAGATGACTCAAGATAGCCTACCAGATGTGTCCAAGAGCCCTCCAGGTCGCCCCAGGACGGCCCCAAGTGCCCTCCGAGCCTCCCAAGGAGGCCCCCAGGAGGCAAAAGCCCTTCAAACAAATATGTTTGTTCAACGTGTTGTGCCTTCTCGCCTTTTCTCTTCCGTTAGGCTCTCGAGGCCTCAAGGTGGCTCCGAGATGGCCCACGACGGCCCCAAGACGGCCTCAGGAGCGCCCAAGACCGCCCCACGAGGGCCCTCGGAGGCGACCCGATCCTCGATGAGGGGACCGAAATCGGTGACCCCCTCCTCTTTTGCTCGACGGCCTCCAAGATGGCCCCAAGAAGCCCTCCAAGGCCACCGAGCAAGTGTGATAAAGCACAAGTGCGATAAAAAGTGTGATTATCCCGGCAAAGCAACCTAACAGCCATGTGTAGGAGCATCTCTGGGTCGAACAGCATCTCGACGAAAAGGCAGCGACAAAAAAGGTGACGTCGACGACGGCGGTGGCGGCGGCGACGGCGGCGGCGGCGGCGCCCCCCCCGCCGCCATCCGCAGAGGTGGCTCGTTCGTGTTCTTCGTGGCCCGCCATACCCGGGCCACATTTTTTGCTTGTTGATAGCAGTGTCTCGTTTCCAGATATGCTTTCAGCATGTGTAGAAGCATATATGGGAGCATTCCCCTTGAGATTCAGATGAGAATCCAATTGTCGAGTCGAAATAGGAAAGCCAAGACGTGTCCGTACTGGTGCATTGTTCTCCTCCTCCTGGTGCTCTCCCCCCCCCTCCTCCTCCTCGTCCTCCTCCTCCTCCTCGTCCTCCTCCTCCTCTTCCTCCTCCTCCTCCTCCTCCTCCTCCTCCTGGTAGTCCTCCCCCTCCCCTCCTCCTCCTCCTCCTCCTCTTCCTGGTCGCCCTCGTTCTCGTCCTCCTCGTCTTGCTCGTCCTCCTCCTCCTGGTGTTCTCTCCTCCTCCTCCTCCTCCTCCTGCTCCTTCCCCTCCTCTGGTGGTCCCTTCTCTCTCCTGGGCTATCCCCCCCCCTCCTCCTCCTCCTCTCCTCCCTTCCTCTGTCCTTCCTTCCTCCTCCTCTTATCCTCCTCCTCCTCCTCCTCCTCCTCCTCCTCCTCCTCCTTCCTCCTCCTCCTAGTAGTCCTCCCCCTCCCCTCCTCCTCCTCCTCCTCCTCCTCTTCCTGGTCGTCCTCCTCTTCCTGGTCGTCCTCCTCCTCCTGCTCGTCCTCCTCCTCCTCCTGCTCGTCCTTCTTCTCCTGCTCCTCCTGCTCCTCGTCCTGCTCCTGCTCGTCCTCGTCCTCCTGGTCTTGCTCGTCCTCCTCCTCGTCGTGCTCTTGCCCCTGCTGAAAATGTGGCCCAGGAATGGGAGTTCTGGGAAGTCGAAGAGCACGAAATTGCCTACAGTTGGCTACGGGCATTCAAAATGTGGCCCGGGAATGGAGTTCTGGGAACTCGAAGAGCACGAAGTGGCCTACAGTTGGCTCCGGGCATTCAAAATGTGGCCCGGGAATGGAGTTCTGGGAACTCGAAGAGCACGAAGTGGCCTACAGTTGGCTCCGGGCATTCAAAATGTGGCCCGGAAATGGAGTTCTGGGGACTCGAAGACCACGAAGTGGCTTACAGTTGGCTCCGGGCATTCAAAATGTGGCCCGGGAATGGAGTTCTGGGAAATCGAAGAGCACGAAGTGGCCTACAGTTGGCTCCGGGCATTCAGAATGTGGCCCGGGAATGGAGTTCTGGGAGGTCGAAGAATGGAGTTCTGGGAGGTCGAAGAGCACGACGTGTGTGACTGTTTGCGAAAAACGACTTCTGCCGGCACCGTGTCCCGGCACCGCCCAGGGACCCTCATGTGGATCATCTGCTGCTCCTTTTGACACCGCTAGAAACCTATCAGAAAACAAGCTGTGAGGTAATAAAAACAAGGTGATAATAAAAAATTATCCCGGAAAAGGCAACCTAACAGCGATGTGTGAAGCATATCTGAAAGCATCCCTTAAGATTCAAGATGATTATCCCGGCAAAGCAACCTAACAGCGATGTGTAGGAGCATATCTGAAGCATTCCCCTTAAGATTCAAATGAGAATCCAGTTGTAGAGTTCTGCTGTTCTCGCAGTCGTAGTCGCATTCGCGATGACAGTCGCAGTGGCAACGGCAGTCGCAGTCACAGCTCAGCCTCAGCCTGCCTCAGCCTCAGCCTCAGCCTGCCTCATCCTCAGCCTGCCTCAGCCTCAGCCTCAGCCTGCTTCAGCCTCAGCATCGGCCTCAGCTCAGGGCTGCCTCAGCCTCCAGCCTGCCTCAGCTCAGCAACAGCCCTCAGCATGCCTCAGACATCAGCGCCTCAGCCTCGCCTCAGCTGCCTCAGCATCGGCCCTGGTTCTGCTTCGCCTCAGCCTTAGTCTGCCTCAGCCTCGGCCTCAGCCTCAGCCTGCACGCGGTGGCCCTACCCGGCCGCACAGCCTCAGCCGTGCCCAGCATTCAAAATGTGGCCCAGGGAAATGCAGTTCTGGGAAGTCGAAGAGCCGAAGTTGCCTACAGTTGGCTTACGGGATTCAAAATGTGGCCCGGGCATGGAGTTCTGGGAACTCGAAGAACACGAAGTGGCCTACAGTTGGCTCGGGGCATTCAAAATCATGCCCAGGAATGGAGTTCTGGGAACTCGAAGACCACGAAGTGGCCTACAGCTGGTTCCGGGCATTCAAATGTGGCCCGGGAATGGAGTTCTGGGAACTCGAAGAGCACGAAGTGGCCTACAGTTGGCTCCGGGCATGCAAAATGTGGCCCGGGAATGGATTTCTGGGAACTCGAAGAACACGAAGTGGCCTACAGTTGCTCCGGGCATTCAGAATGTGGCCCGGGAGTGGAGTTCTGGGAGGTCGAAGAGCA